GTACTTACTATTACCGCATTCAGTAGTTTCTCGCAAAAACTACTGAACATCAGTAGTTTGGTTGAGAACAGCTGAATGTTCAGTAGTTTTTGTGATTTACAGTTATAAACCTGTAAAAAAAAAAAATTACCGAACAAGGAATCCGTGATTAAGTGTGTGGTTGAGCGTCGTTGATAAGTTAATGCATTCTACTGGAGAGAATCGCCTATGAAATATGCTTCCACCTGAGAGTTCCTGCCTGACATCTTCAAGTGGTGGAATTTTTTATTATTATATTGTATGATTATTGACTGCACGGAAAAGGTCTGCATTAAGCGGGATTTAGATGAGACAGGTGAGTTGAATTCAACTCAAACCGATCTGGTCGTAGACGTTCAATTGACTTGACAACGAATAGAGCAAGTCCGATATCGGTCAGATTTCTGGACGTTCATTTCGCAGTTCAAGTGAGTTGAACGCTGAATTGAACCATCTTATCCCAGCTTTAGAGAGGGTCTAGGATAAGAGATGAGCGGACGCGGACTGCCTGGTTTTGAGTTAAACGAACTGTCAAAGTCAAAGCCAGAGCCATACGAGCAGCGCCTATCTTGATTACATTGGCAGTGTTGCTGTCCCTCTCATAGTCTGCATGCTTCAATCAGATTTATTTTTATTGTTCGTGAAGTAACCCACAATGAAAACACAACAATATTTAATGTAACAACAATTTTTATTGTTATAGAGTTGTTCATTATTGTTCATGATCGAATCATGTTAACAATAAAATAAATGAAAAATACGATAAAAATCATTGTAACAACATTTTATTATGTACATTCATTGTACAGCTAGGTAGCAGTTTTGCCGTTTTCGGAAGAGTACAACATTTTAACAATCATTTTTATTGTCGACAATAAATATTAATGTTAGAGCCCTCCCCATGGACATGGAGGTTGACGGTACTGAAGCAAAGGGTTATGTTTAATTTCTTTATATTTGCAACGATGATGATTTCCTATAGTGACACATATCACCTTCTTAATGCTTCAGTATGCCTCAAACGATTAATTCTTGGTTGTTAATAGAACATCCTTGATGAAATCGGCTGCTTCATGCAGACTGAGTAATTCTGAATATAGTATCAGATTTGTTTTGTATACAGAGGAACTGGGAGGGCTTATTAGAAACTTCTCACCAATAAAGTAATGATTTTCTAGTAATTTAATTATATTAATACTTTATTTTAACATACGATACAAAAGTGCTCGTTTTTGCGTAAAATAATCAATATTTATTTTGTAATTACGTTTAAAAGTTTTTTTAAGTGATCTGAAAATTTTCCCAGTTTGGTTAGAAGTTTCGAAGCTAACGCATGTCCGCAAGCCTAATAGAAAGATAGGCAGAAAAAGTGATTTTCGGAGTTTTATTCGTGAGGTGTTGTAGTGGAGATTTGTGTTGTTTGATGCGGGAGGAGATTGGAGGGCGGTTGTTTGACGCATAGAGCCTGTCAATATCGCTTTCAGAGTGTCGCAGTCAGCGGTTTTATGATTCGTGAGCGCTCGCGATTCGTAGAACCGTTGATTGTGACTGCAAGTGGATTTGGCAGGTTTTGTGAGTCGGACTCTTGCTTTTTGGCCTATTCTTGTGTCTAACATGTGCAGAGTATTATTATAGGGTCTAATGGTTTTGAGATTCCTGGTTGCATGAAATATGTTTGTGAGAATATCTTTTTGAGATTTTAGTAGTCACGTTTTGTTTGTAGTTTATATTTTATTTCTTTCATGTAATTATCGTAAATAATAGTTATTCAATAATAGATAGTTCATCCATATATTCGCACTTTGACGCAAAGCGCTGTGGATTATGAGATGCTTGATGACCCTGGAGGTATCGATTTTGCTTACTGAGCAGAAAATCATGGATTTAATTCCAAGCTCTTCCACAGCACAATAAATCGCCACCATCATTTGTATATTTGATATTGAACATTAACCTTGGAAACTATTTGCATATCAAGCGAAAACGTAGTCCTGTATTGTCGCGAAGCGTTATGGTTCTGAGATGCTCGATGACCCTGGAGGGATCGTTTTTGATTACTGAGCAGAAAATCATGGGTTTAATCCCAAGCTCTCCATCATGACTCTTACAATTCATGATCACTAAACAAAATGAATATGTTCTTTCGATAGCCGGCTATCGATAGATTAAATAAACAAAAAATAAACAATACATACTTTTGGTTTCATCGCCAACTTGAGGTGAATCCTAACCGAATACCCTACCCAACCCTCCAACTCCGTAGCACTTATGAGGGTGTCGCTAAGTCGGTGGCCTCTCGTTAAGTAAGTTCTACATCAACATTTCCTTCCCTATCCCTAGTTATGGTAAAGATGGGCGTGGCCGGGAATAGCGACAGTCATGCTTCTGTTACTCTTGTTTAGATTGGAACCAATGTTTACTCCCCAGCATTATTCCTGAAAGTAGTCTAACTGAGAATTTCAGAAGAGACGTGAGTGTCGCTAGTATCCAATCTACGAAGTATATCATAACAACGCTAACGCTAACGCTAACGCTAACAATAAATATTAATGTTAGAGCATTGCTTCCAAACGGCGCCGGTGGTGTAGTGGTAAGCGTGATTACCTCTCACCCCAGCAGGCCTGGGTTCAATACCAGTCGGCGCCGCCGGGATGTTCTGAGGCATAACATCTCTGATCACGCCTTCCTTCGGATGGGAAGTAAAGCCGTTGGTCCCCGGTTCATGAGTTGATGGGTCGATAGGTAGGGTCCAGGTGTGGGAGCTGCCTTCCTGGCACGTCGGTAGCATTGGTGCTCAGCACGGAAAACAAGATCGACGGAAAAAAACAAACCAAAGGAGCATTGTTTCCACTGATAATTTTACTGTAATTTTTTTTTTCGGGATGCTATTACTACGAATGGCATTAAAATGCAATTTTTTAAAAATATTTAAGCACGTAAAAAATCGAAATCTCGTTAGGTTTTTTTTTACACGGTACATATCCCCCATGTAAAAAAGACTTGAGTGTATTGCAGATTTACGCGATATTGTACTTAAATTTACATAAAATATCGTGTAAAAATAACGGAAAATCTAGCGTTAGTAACATGTGCGCTATATATGCAGAAATTTAAATGATTTTTTCATACGGTGCAAAAATCATCAAGAATATTATTGAATAAAAAAATCTAAGTAGCAATATTGCTGATTTTTTTACACGATTAATCAGTTGATCAGTTAATCAATCACTAAATCCATCAATCAAAGAGATTTCTGTATAGATCTCCAAGGGATCGTTAATAACTATAAAACACATTCTACGTGACGTTGCAACGGTTTTCGCCTGTTTTTTTTACATTTTTTGTACTCTTACTGACCCCTAAACCTATTATATATATATATATATAGGTTTATATATATATATATATATATATATATATATATACATATTAGAATTATATATATGATTTAACTGTATCGAAAACGAATACATCTTTACATTTCCATAGTAACGAGGTACAACGACATGCACTAAACAAAGGACAGAGACGTATCACAAAAGATCAATCTATTGGTCGCAGTAACTATGACTCGAACAAAAAAACTATTTTGAAATCAGGCAAAACCGTGGATACATCCTGGTAGAATGTGTCAAAACGGTATTTAATTCTGAAAATAACTAAAAATTGGTTAGTTAGTTTGAAGATAGTTTCAAGGGAATCCCTAAGATAATAAAACAATTTTGCGAGAATTTCAAAGAATTCCGCAAAGGGCTCCAAAGAGGAAAATTGGCAGGGAATTTCAAGCATATTTCCATAAAAAAAATATGAGTGGCGTTTCAAGGGAAAATCGAGCATTTTACTAAAATAACTCAAACTTCATACCGGCTCTGCCAATATAGTCCAAAACAATATCAATAAATCAATAAATAGTAGAAATGTTGGCTTCGGCAATACCTTTACCTACTATCGTCAGGGGTAAATGAAGTCTTAGAGCGTTATTTTTTTTGCAGAACGATGCACTGGAACATGATGCATCTTTATGCAAAAAAATCAGCGTCCTAGGACTTCATTTACCCCCTGTCGATAATAGTTATATAGAAGTGCTGAAGCCATACTCTCCCCTAGTTCTTCAACCACCAGCCAAGATTTTCAAAAAAATGTATATTCATAGTGTTTCAAAAAATTGTCCATTCAATTTTGCGATACACTCATATATTTGGGATTCATAAGACTGATTATATGTGGATGAACTCGCTACTATATCCGGAAATTTTCCGTTTCCACCAAAAATGTAATCCTACACTTTTTTAAAAATGGAAATCATATTAATGATTATACACACTTTAAAATAATTATTGTTACACGAGACGTAAATTATGGAACGTAAACAAACATGTCATGTAAAATTAAGTGTTCCCCAACCGAAGCATACGCAACTCGATGAAAAGTACGATTGATTGAATTTATTTTCTCGTTTCTTTCAACTGATTCTTATGTCATTTGGGCCGCTTGCATGTGTCTCAGGGCACGGAAATTTACATGACTTTTTGGTAGTGTGTACCGTATCAGTTTTTGAATCTAGAAGAAATAAAAATCCACTGAGAAAACGAACGTCACGTGTTTACTAATTTTTTATCAATTCAGAAAAAAAAATCTGTATATTACTGGTGATGTAAACACGAAGTAGCGCTCTACCCTATTTCTTTTCACGCAAAATAGCAACTAGAAATATTCCATGAAACGACTCATAACTTTACACGATATTTAATGTGAAGTTATATGCTTCATATTGAACAGAAATTTACACTACTTTTTGGAACTGTGAACACTACAGGATTTAAATCATTGTTGGAGCATAAATCAGATCTACGGGACCGCTATAAAACCTAGATTGTTACTTGGGAGTGCATCGAAACGAAGTGATACAGCATCGTAAACGCGGTATCTAAACTCATAATTTTGTCAGAGTATATTTGTGAAAAATAATAATTCAAACTTACCGATCAGCATAGCTTCCCCAAAATGGAGCAGAAAGAAACTCAACGAATGGCCTGGTGCCAATCAGCAACCCACACTGGCCTGGATTCATTCCCATTTGCTTGAAGTAAACTCCCATCAGTGGAAACAGGGATCCGAAAGCAGCATAGAAGAAGAAATAGAACGTTTTCACTGGCAGTAGCTCTTGGTCTACGGACCCACAAAGCATTTCCAAGATGTCAGATTTGCCTCGGATTTTGTGCGTTGATTCTTTAGCCTGGGGGTAACTGTCATAAGAAGAAGAAAAAATAATTTAATCAATATATTTAAACCATTGCTATCTTTCTTTCCCACAAAGTAGATATGTAAGTACTTACAGAGTAGGATCAACTTCTCCCGCCGCCTCCGGGTCAACCATTGGTCTGGCGACGCCTTGCGGTTGCATCGGAATTTGCTGCTGTTGTGGATCATAATTTCCATATTCATTCCCACCATAGTCGTTGTTCGAGAATGGCTGCATTTTGATTGATGCCTATCAATACTTTAAGCACTCAGATATTCCCCTAATAATTAGCTTAAAGACGAGTTTATTCGCTTCGAAACACTTTAACTTCTAAATTTACGATTGACTAGTACAACCTTTATTTCATTCTGAATGAAAGACTAATTTTTTGCAGCACGCTCATTGATAAAAAAATACACTTTCATTCAGTTCCATTCACCAAAATGACATAACATATGCAGATTCCTCCGGAGCACTTAATTACTGTCACTATAGCATCGAATTCGAGCTCCCGAAATGTTCCTTGTAATCGCAATTATCTTCCTAGAAAACTGAATTACCCGTTTCGATGTACTCGATGGCGTTTAGCACCAGTTTTTTAAACTGTAGCGAATTTATTCCAGGCGAGTGAAAAATTGAGCTTCACTACATACGAGGCTACAGGATCAATAAGCACAATATTTGAAAAAGCTTCCCGTAATCGATAAAATCCTAGCGAATATATCGTTTTCTATGCGCATGCTTCGGAATTGGCCCGCCGTTGAGGTTTTTGGTGACAGTGCGTCCTGGGAGTGATACTTTGCCGCTTCTTCGGTTGATTTGAACAATGGGATTGAAATGAATGTTGGCAGTTGAATTGTTTGACTACAGTATATAGTTTGCGATGAGATTAATTTTAGAACTAGTTACATTAAACCCATACAGGATGCAATTTAATATATGTTCTCAATGTTTACGACACCAGGCTGATAAGGGTAAAACATTCGACCATTTTAGATGACTCCGGTAAACAATCGGAACAAAAATAAATGTCCATTTTTGAATCAAATTAGCTTTCAAAAACTGAATCATTGGCGATCAAATGTGTGATTTAATTTAAAAAAAATAATTATACATGAAATAATGAGTTTCAACACTTTGGATTATTTTTTAACTACTTACATGCTTCTCAACCGCAGTATTTGGTAAAAAATTTAAAAACAAATATTTTTTTTTATTCCAAATTTTAAATGTGTTGGTAACTATATCAATTTTAAAATTTGCTAAAATCCAAGACTGTTGCAAATATAAGAAACCGCTAAATTCAGGAAATTATTGCACCTCAAAGATTTCAAATGTTCCCTAAATCTCAGGGTTTTAAAATATTCTGAGGGGCTGGTCATAAACTCTTTCTGTCCCTACATGGAAACCATGAAATATCTTTAAATCTCTACACGGAAAACAACACGCATGAACATCAAATGTAAGAACCACTCCGTTTGCTTGGGACCAATAGGCTACTAAAGTGGTGAGCCAATTTAAAATCGTTAGTTTCGTATTGATTGTTGGTAGTACCATAGAGGTAACTCTAAGACTAGAAGGTCCCGAAATAACGTGCTCAACTTTTTGGCTCAGCTCTGGTACTCTCTTCGGTCCCAAGCTAATCGATTCACCCCTCGAAACATAGGAAAAACCAATAGCCCCTCATTTTATCTGTCAAACTTTCATAGCGAATCAAAACAAACATTGCGTAGTACTAGAATTTCGACTAGAATGGGGTACGTTAATCGTTTGCTTGGGACCAATAGGCTAGTCAAGTAGTGAGCCAATTTAAAATCGTTAGTTTCGTATTGATTGTTGGTAGTACTGACCCGGTGAGGGTCACACGAAACCAGAGGGTGGGACGCTTTTGATGAATATATCAAAATATTTTTTGATATTTTAATTTTTTTGACTAAGAATTAAAAACAAAAGTATCCGTAAACAAATATTTTACAGCACAAAAAGGTGTAGTTCGAGTGGGGTAAAAGTTCGTTTATAGGTTTTCGACACCTACACAGCAAAAAATAAATTTTAATATCACATCCAAGAGGATGCACTTCATTCATGTCGAAAATCTCATGTAATTTTTATGTTCACAAAAATAAACAAATGCAGTAAAAGCACCGTAATGTCAGTTCATGCACTGTATTAATGATAATTTTGTCCTTTTCGGGAAGTAATATTACCAACAATCAATACGAAACTAACGATTTTAAATTGGCTCACTACTTGACTAGCCTATTGGTCCCAAGCAAACGATTAACGTATCCCATTCTAGTCGAAATTCTAGTACTACGCAATGTTTGTTTTGATTTGCTATGAAAGTTTGACAGATAAAATGAGGGGTTATTGGTTTTTCCTATGTTTCGAGGGGTGAATCGATTAGCTTGGGACCGAAGATAGTACCAGAGCTGAGCCAAAAAGTTGAGCACGTTATTTCGGGACCTTCTAGTCTTAGAGTTACCTCTATGATATTACACCATATTTTCGCATAATTAAAGTGCATACACTTTGATGTGATATTAAACGAATTTTTTTGCTGTGTATGCAAAAAAAAACTCATTGTTTTGGCAATTATCTGGAAAGTCGTTTAGAGTCAGACTTTCCCTAAAAAAATTACATATATTGTCGGTGTTTTCGAAGAATTATAGGCAAAAGCAGGGGTTATGCCCTTCGGGCTTCATGTGATTTGTTGAATCGAATGTAAGGTTTTGAGTTCTCTAGGGTAAACAGTGCCCAATGCATTGTGGTCCTGAGCACTCAACATAATCGCCAATGGTATTGTTTTGAACATTCATGTGACTTAATGTGTCGCATAAAGGATCTGTCAAAACGGCTTGGGCGTTACTGGGCTAAGACATTGAAGTGTCGTTATACTGTTCACCCCAGGGGTTAAGACATGTCTTCATTTTGAAGACCTTTGGAATCCTGTGAAGATATTTTTCTACAGCAACGTCATCCAACTTACATATTTTTTTATACTCTCAAGATTTTAGAACATCTATAAACTTCCTCAAAAATACGGGAAGACCCTTAACCTTTTCTACTAATAGGTCTGAACATCTGGATAGGTCCATGCAATCAAACAAAATTCTCTAAACTTCTAGGAGGTTCTTTTGAAGTATGATCTTTTGGAGTAAGATCTCTGATTCATTGATTTTAAATAGAAATCCTTGATATTCAAAGAAAAGGTTGCTATTTTACAGCAAGGTTTGATTAAATTCTGCAAATATCACTGAATATTTACAAAATTCACTAAACTTCTATACAGTTCTCACCACTTCTACGGAGTTCGCTGGATTTTTAATTTTTTTTTATCTATACTTCTTCAGAATTTGCAATTTAAGAAAGTTTCCTGAAACGATATTTTCTGAATTTCTACGAGCTTACTTGATGTTCCGAAATGATCTATGAAGTTCCTTGAATTTTCATTTTTTTTCCCTGAAGTTACTGAACTACTACAAAGGTTCCTGAAATAAAAACGGTGATTCCTTGACCTAAGAAGTACCCTGTTCTGTAAGTCTAAAATATTAAGCAGCCACACCCTTTCGCAAATTTTTAAGTAGCGTTGAAAACACACACAATAAAAATTACTGCTTCTTCTTGGTAATCCAGTTCAATGAGTCACACGATGGATTTTAGTTTTATATATTTTTTTAAATTCACTGTAAATAAAATACAATATTGTCAAAGTAGTTGACTACATTGGATTCAATTTTGCATTGTTTTATTTTTGCCCCCTGATTTTTTGAGCCGATTTCGAGGCGGGGGGACAAAAACTTGATAAAAATTTGCAAAAGTGTTTTATTAGCTCAAACGGGTAAAATAAAAATAAATAAACAAAAACTTTTTATGTTATGTTATGTCTTGCCGTCCCACAACAAATGACGAATCGATTTTGTTTTTCCCTCTACAAATTCCTTGAAACTACGCAGTTTATTTAATTTTTAACGATAATTTGTGATTCTTTCTCAGTGTTTTTTTTTTTCTGAAAAGGCAATCCAGTTTCCTACAACTTTGTACCAGACGTAGTTTTGAATAAATTAGCCGTTTTCATGCTATGATTGATGGAATTTTTATTTAATTTTTCGGACGATGAAGTATTTTCTTCGGACAGATTTTTTCATCAACTTTCCCCAATTTCTTCTAACTTTCTTCAGGAGTGCTTGTAGCTATCTCCGGATGTTTCTTTTGATTTCCTTTAAAATATTGTTCAGACATCCACGGAAGATTTTTATTTTTATTTCCTCCGTGAGATTCTTCCAACTTATCCTGAAAGTTTTTTGTGTTCTCTTGAGAACGGCTGTCCAAGGTGACTATATATAGGTGTTCTAATGTGTCAAATTCATGATTCAGCCATGTTGGATTTTTGTATGGGACAGCGACCGAGTTTGTTTACAATTTGCTCTAAAACCGCACTCAACCCCCCCCCCCCCCCGCGACCTCCTCGCCTATATAGTGCAAAGCTGTATCACCATTTATATACCTACCATGCGGCTGTCCGCATTTCTCACAAAAAATTATTTTCACTTTTCTTGGAAATTGACAAGCAACTTTCATCCATGTTTCCGCGGAAACTTTTCCAGTTTTTATAGAGTGTGTTTACTTTCCTTTGGAAGGTTTCTCCGATTTCCTCTGGAAGATTCATTTGACTTCCACCGGAAGATTCCTCGGAAGATTAATACATTTTCTCTTGGAAGTTTAATCCTGTACACTTAGAAATAACTACTTTTACACGAGACGTAATCCATATTTGATGTAAATCATGGAACGTAAACAAACATCTCATGTAAAATTAAGTCAAGCTGAACATTGCATTAGGTCCTAAGTAACATTGACAGATTCTCTTCGCCGACTTTCTCTTTGTATTCCTACGGCCATGTAAAGACATTCCCAGGTATTTTCAGCACACATATCGATTAAAGAAGCTTTTATCTAGCATCTAATACGACAAACACAACACGAAACCTCGATGAACATTTCAAATGGTCCTATCTGCTTTGATCGATTCTCTTCATCGACTTTCTCTTTCGTCAATAACTCAGCTGCAAAACTTTTCCCTGTTGTATTTGACGTTTTGGACGCTAGATAAGAACCTCCTTTATCAAACTATGTGGTAGAATTAGCGCGAAATCTGTTTGCATAGCAGTGGTTATGAAAAGAGAAAGTCGATGAAGAGAATCGATCAAAGCAGATAGGACCATTTGAAATATTCATCGAGAAACCGTTATGTGCTCAAGTTATTAACGAAAGAGAAAGTCGACGAAGAGAATCGATCAATGTTACTTAGGACCTAATGCAATGTTCAGCTTGAAGTATTCTCAAACCGAAACATAAGCAACTCGACGAAGAGAACGTTTCGACAGTGAGCATGCATAAGGGCCTATACGCGATGATCGATTCTCTTAGTCGATATTCTCTTTTGTTAATAACTCGCTAGATTTAACGGTTCTCGGTGCGTTTGCTGTTGCTTTTGATAGCCAATACAACCTGTTATTAGTCTGCATTGAACAAATTCTAGAAAATTGTTTCGCTTAGCTGTAGCAATGCAAAGAGAAAATCGATGAAGAGAATCGATCATCGCGTATTCGCCCTTATGCATGCTCACTTTCGGTTTGATTGAATTGATTTCCTCGTTTCTTTC